TGATTGGTGGAAACTCTAACAATGTGGGTGCAGACTGCAAACTGTGGCGGATACTTTGTGGGCGGTTCCAGCGTTTTCCTTGTCTGATGTGGAATCTCGGGAAGAGGATGAGAAAACTGTTCTAAGCTAGCAGCCGGAATTCTGAGTTCTTGGAGGCTGAGATCTGGAGGACTGCGCTTGGAGGCCAGCCCAGGTAAATAGTTTGTGAGACCTATCTCCAAAATAACCAGAGCAAAACGGGCCTGGAGCTGTGGCTCAAGAAGTAGAACAGCTGGTTTGCAAGTGTGAAGCCCTGAGTTCAAATCCAGTGCAACCTTCCCCCCCCCAAAAAAAAGAACTGTTTCTCACTGTGCTGGTTAATAAGGGAGTGGTGTCAGTCACCTGAAGGGTCCCATTCCCTGATCCTGTCACCTAGATGGCTCCCCTGAGAAACACCAGGAAGATCAAACAGCAGATGCGGGCTCTGAACACGCAGAACGCTCCGATGCTTGGGCTCTGGGAGTGTGGACAAACCTGTGGCTGTCCCGTTTCTCCCTTCCTTTTTCTTGGGGATGGGGTGGTAATGGGATTGAACTCGAGGCCTTGTGCTTATTAGGCTCTCCATCAACAGAGCCACCCTGCAGCCCTTTTTGGTTTATTTTTATTTATTTATTTTTGGCTGTACTGGGGTTTCAACTCAGAGCCTTCACCTTGAGCCGCTCCAGCCCTTTTTTTGTGATGGGTGTTTTTTGAGATAGGATCTTGCAAACTATTTGCCTAGGTTGGCTTTGAACCTAGATCCTCCTGATCTCTGCCTCCTGAGTAGCTAGGATTACAGTCGTGATTCACTGGCACCTGGCTTAATTTTTTGGTGGTATCAGGGTTTAAACTCAGGCCCTTGTGCTTGCTAGGCAGGCACTTTACCACTTGAGCCATGCACGGAGCCCCATTCTTAATTTTTTTGAAGCACCATCATACCATCTTTCATAGTGGGTGTACACAATTTTACAGTCCCATAAGGGTTCCAAACTGTCCACAAACTTGCCAATGCTTGGCGCTCCCTCTCTCTCTCTCTCAATAGCTTTCCTAATGTTTGTGAGTAAGTATTTCGTGGTTATGATTTGCATTTCCATAATGACTAGTGGTACTGAGTATTTTTCAATGAGATTATTAGCTATTTGTATATCTTCTTTGGAGAAACAGCTGTTCGAGTTCTTGGCCATTTTTAATTGGGTTGTTTACTTTTCGTTTTTGCGTTGGAGGAGTCCCTTATATGTACTGAACAATGCTCCCCCATCAGATGTACAGTTTGCAAATATTTTCTCCCATTCCACGGGCTGCCTTTTCACTAATGATAGTGTCCTTTTTTGGGGGGGAGGGGCAAAACTGGGGTTTGAACTCAGGTGCTTTACCACTTGAGCCACTCTGCCAGCAAGGGTCCTTTGATGAACTAAAATCTTTTGTTTGGACTAAAATCTTTTTGTTTCGACACTGACCCCCAAAGTGGCCTGTATCTTTGGTGTCATGTCCAAGAAATTACAGACAAATTTAATGCCGTGGAGCTTTTCCCCATGTTTGTTTCCAAGAGTTTTTATGAAGCAATTATACCTTAGATCCACTTTGAGTTATTTTTGGACAGATTTTTAATTTGATGCACAAAGGAGGAGGATGCAAAACAGGAGAGATGGATTTGTGCATGAAAAGCCAGTAGGCTTTTAGAGAAAAAGAAACTTATGTTTTCTTCCTTAATCCTCTGCCTTCCAGTGACTTCTACCGTTGAAAAGAGAAAGTGATTTAACAAAGAAAGGCAGGTGGGGAAAAAAAAAGTCATGTGGGGAAAAGGGAAGTACTTGTGTTTGTAGCAATCTTGGACAGTATCTACTAACTATTGGGCTGGCTGTGTGGCTCAGAGGCACAGCACAGACAGAGCCTGCCGGAGGCCCCCAGGTCCATATTTTCTGCTCCTCCCACCAAGAGCAGGAAATCTGTCTTCAAGGAGCTCCTGGACGAGTGGGGGAACTAGATTTAGATGTTTGGTGAACACATTTGTTTATCTGAAGTTATGAGAAGTGGGTGCTGGTGGCTCACGCCTGTAATCCTACTTAGGAGGCTGAGATTGGGAGGATGAAGATTTGAGGCCAGCTTGGGCAAATAGTTTTTAAGAACCCATCTCCAAAATAACCAGAGCAAGGCCATGTTTTCTCTCATGTTTAGAATATAGATCTAATACAAATACAAATAATATTATGAAAAACAGGACACACTAAGGGGAGGTTACTAATGGGAGAGGAAGGGTAAAAGAAAGAAGTAAGAAGGTGAATGGTTGATGTACTTTCTATGCAAGAATGAATATAGAATCTTTTAAGCTGCTGAGGTCACCACAAGAAGGGAACTAAGGTGAAAGGGGAAAAATAGAAGGGATGAACCAATTCAGGATACAATGCATATATACGTGGAAATATCACAATGAAACACCCTGTATCTTATACAAACAAAATGTCTTTTTTCAAAAATGGAGAACAGAAAGAGAAAACAGATCCTTTCTGGGGGTTGGAACCAGTGAGAGAGGACAGGATGAAAGGAAAGAGTGTAGGGGGGTGAATATGTTTGAGATACGTACTCATGTATGAAATGGAAAAACCTGTTGAAACTGTTCCAGGAATGGTGGGGGGAATAAAGGGGAATGATGGAGAGGGTGAATTCAACTATGAGATATTGTAAGAACTTTGGTAGATGTCACAATGTACCCCCAGTACAACAACAACAACAACAACAATAAAATAACCAGAGCAAAATGGAATGGAGAGGTGGCTCAAGTGGTAGAGTGCCTGCTTTGCAAGTGCAAGCCCTGAGTTCAAATCCCAATACCACCACACAAAAAAAAAGTTATGAGAATAACAAACGGGGTGTTAAGAGAAAAGTAGCATAAAAATGACATTGGAAAGTTAGACAGGGACCCACCCCTTTGTATATTAATCCAAGGAATGTGACCTTTAACCTAAAGTAGGGATGACAAACTCAAAAGCCCACAGAGACCAGGGAGACCAACTAGATATAAAGTAATAGGAAGTGGTGGGACTGTAGCAAATTGCAGAAAGGGGCGCTCCTCTAAGCTCTAGTGGCCTGTGACCATGTGGGATTGGCAGCCCAGTGTAGCAGGATCTTCCAGTTTTCTCCAGCTTTTTTCTTTGTTTGGTTGGTTTTTGGATGGTACTGGAGTTTGAACTTAGGGCTTCCCACTTGCTAAGCAAGCACTCCACCACATCTTCCAATTTTCTAAGAGAAAACAGAAATCCAGGTGTCTATAAGACAATTCCAGGTTTTTAAAACATGGAGGTCAAACTCAACAGGTTTTTGAACCAGATATGGCCCAGAGGCCAGCAGTTTGCCAACCTGACAGACTGGAAGGCACTAATGAAGATTTTTTTTTTTTTTTTCAGTACTAGGGTTTTACTCAGGGCCTTCACCTTGAGCCACTCCACCAGCCCTATTTTTGTGAAGGTTTTTTTGAGATAGGGTCTCTATTTACCTGGGTGGCTTCGAACCTCAATCCTCCTGATCTCTGCCTCCTGAGTCGCTAGGATTAGCCGCCAGCGCCTGGCAACTAATAAAGATTTTTAAATGAAAAAAGGGACACAATATCTGAGCCTGAGGAAGTCCAAACTGTGTGTGGGAGATGAATTACTGGGGTAATTTACAGGAGGGAAACCAGATAGGAAACAGTGCACACAGTCAGGTGGAGGTGATGATGGTCCAAGAAGGAGGAGCGGTGAGGGGTCACGGACTGATTTGGAATCCAGCATTCATTTGGAAAATTCTAGCTTTAATCAGCATCTGGAAGAAGAAGGCATATGCATTCTTTCAGTATACCCCCCTTTCTTAACTTGGGAGCGGAAAGGCACAGGGCAGATAGCTAATCCCTAAAGCCAAAGGACAGGAAATTTTGGCCAAGGCTCTAGTTTTTCACGCTGCTTAATTTTACACATGATTATTTTAGAGATAGACTCCATAACCAACTCCCCCAATCCTCATCTTTCCTCACTCAGAGGCTCGATTGAAATTGAAAACCTACATATCATGGTGTTTGGCTTTTTTGAGAGCCAAATCATTGCAAAAGATTTCCCCAGCAGAGCAGGGAACTGGCCCCCCAAAAGGGGCAACTGTGTAGAGACAGACCCAGGGAGTGGGCTCCAGGTCTATATTATGGTCTTGCTGCTTGTGCAACTTGGTCACTTGGATCTACAGAGGTTGCCAAGGGTAAGGAGGTGGGAATGGAGTAGGCTGGGGGAGGAGAGGTGACATCCAAAAAATGTCATGCTTAGAAATTTTATTGTCTACAGACCTTCTCAAATTTTGAGTGCTGTTTTTGGCTGTGGGTACAGGAAATGGCTCTGAGAGGCTGCAGAGAGAGCCTCCCCTCTCTGGCACCCCACGGGAGCGCCCCATGGGATGAGGGAGGGGATGAAGCAGTCAGGCAAAGGTTAGGGAGGGAAGCAGAGGCAGAGCCCCAGATGGACTCCAGGAAATGTTTGTATTTCTCCACCAGGAAGGAGGACAAACAAGGTTTTTTTTTTTTTTTTTTTTTTTGAGCTTTCTGGGCAGTTCTGCATACTTTCCAGCACAGAGTGAGTCCGACATGGAAGAGAGAAGCTGAAAATAAAAATTATCCTATGGCTGGACCCAGAGATTCCTCTACTTTCCAGAAATGACCACTCACAGGAAACTGCTTGCATCTCAGAGCCTGGCCGGGCTGCGGGCTTCACCTCTCCGGGGGACCAGCATCTTGTGATGTGGGTTGCAGAGAAAAGACCTCATTGGGGCTTTCATTTCCTGGCTGAAGTTTCTCTGTGGGTGCAGTGGCTGCATCCACCCCCAGATGCAGCACCCAAATCCCAGGGTGATGAGGGTTAGGGACACAGCAGCTGAGTGAGTGGTAGCATTTAGATAAGCATCTGTGCCTTTCTCTCGGGGACTCCAGAGGCTGGTTGGCACACAGGACGGTTGTCCTCTTGGTAGCCACCATGGACAACAGGTCATGCTGCCTCATGGAGGGGGACCCCATCTCCCAGGTGATGCCACCGCTGCTCATCCTGGCCTTCGTGCTGGGCGCCCTGGGCAATGGGCTCGCCCTATGTGGTTTCTGTTTTCACATGAAGACCTGGAAGCCCAGCACTATTTACCTTTTCAACTTGGCCGTGGCTGATTTCCTCCTCATGATCTGCTTACCCTTGAGGACAGACTACTACCTCAGACACAGACACTGGGCTTTCAAGGATATTCCCTGCCGCCTGGTGCTTTTCACGTTGGCTATGAACAGGGCTGGCAGCATCATCTTCCTTACGGTGGTGGCCGTGGACAGGTATTTCAAGGTGGTCCACCCCCATCACATGGTGAATGGCATCTCCAACCGGACTGCAGCTGGTCTGGTCTGTATCATTTGGACCTTGGTCATCCTGGGAACTCTGTATCTTCTGATGGAGAATCACCTGTGTGTGCAAGACAATGTCCTGTCCTGTGAGAGTTTCATCATGGAGTCAGCCAATGGCTGGCATGATATCATGTTCCAGCTGGAGTTCTTCCTGCCCCTTGGCATCATCTTATTTTGCTCCTTCAAGATGGTTTGGAGCCTGAGGCAGAGGCAGCAACTGGCCAGACAGACTCGGATGAAAAAGGCCACCCGGCTCATCATGGTGGTGGCTGCCGTGTTTATCACATGCTACCTGCCCAGTGTATTAGCCAGGCTGTATTTCCTCTGGACAGTGTCCTCCAGTGCCTGCGACCCATCTGTCCACTTAGCCCTCCACGTCACCCTCAGTTTCACCTACCTGAACAGCATGCTGGATCCTTTGGTATATTATTTTTCAAGTCCTCGTTCCCCAAATTCTATACCAAGCTCAAAATCCGACGTTTGAGATCTAAGCAGCCACGCCACTCAAAGACACGAAGGCCAGAAGAGCTGCCAGTTTCAAACCTCTGTCGTAAGAACTGCATCAGCGTGGGTAACAGTTTCCAAAGGCAAACGGGTGTGCAGTGGGACTTCCAAGTGTGCTGAATGGTACCAACACAAACATCGAGGCGGACAGATGGGCAACTGTGAGTTATTCATGCTACAGGGTTGGGGACTTTGAAAATACCACCACCCTTTTCTTGACTGTATCTTCCTCACTCTGTTGGAAATGAGATCTGAGTTACTCTAGCTTTTTGGAAAGCTGAAGTGAGTGGGTTGCAGTGATACAATCTGATTACAGTGATGGACACAGGATATAATGGCACATGTGTGTTGGGTCAGGAATTGCTCAGCTCCTGTACCACTTCAAACAGTGAAAGAAATAGGTACAGTGTTTAGTGGGTCATGTTCTTGCTCTGAGAGAGTTAATGAATTTAATGACTTATCGGTATTTCCTGTCCTCTGACCTTCGATCTTTACTTATCGTACAAACCAGAAAGTGAACTGAGTTGATATGTTTATGTCAGGCTGCTGAGGCTCTTTAGAAGCGATGTTTTGACCCTGATTATTTTCCTCTTCCCAGAGGCCCCTCTGTATCTCTCACTGTCAATGTTTTGATTTTAGGTAGCCCAAGCACCACTGCTCTGGCCTCCACGCTCCACATTTTTCTGCAAAGCTTTGTATTTTAAAGAAGATGTTGAGTGATATGTTGACCTGCCCTGGTTTCTCCGGGGGGAGCCAAGAGCTTGAAAAAAATCCTTGTTGGCCTTCGAATGCATTAAGTCCAGCATAGCTGCTTTCGACTGCTTGTTATGTGAGTGCGACTTGAACCATTCATTCACCGAGAGGGTCATTAGTTAACTCTTTGGTTTGTTTGTTTGGTTTTTTTTTTTTTTTCATTTTTCTTTTATTATTCATATGTGCATACAAGGCTTGGTTCATTTCTCCCCCCTGCCCCCACCCCCTCCCTTACCACCCACCCACTCCGCTCCCTCCCTCTCCCCCCACCTCAATACCCAGCAGAAACTATTTTGCCCTTATTTCTAATTTTGTTGTAGAGAGAGTATAAGCAATAATAGGAAGGAACAGGGTTTTTGCTGGTTGAGATAAGGATAGCTATACAGGGAATTGACTCACATTGATTTCCTGTGTGTGGGTGTTACCTTCTAGGTTAATTCTTTTTGATCTAACCTTTTCTCTAGTACCTGTTCCCCTTTTCCTATTGGTTTTGTTTTTATGGGACTGGGGTTTGAACTCAGGTCTTCTTACAAAGCAGCTGCTCTACCACTTGAGCCACACCTCCAGTCCCTTAGTCAGCTCTTGTGTGACAGCAGTTTGGGGCTAGCAGAGCTGTTTAAGGCCCTTACCCTCTCACTGAATAGTTTCGAACCATCAGGATTTTTCTTTCATTGTGTGATTCCCATCTGCACAAGCGTTTCTCAAATATGTACCTGGAACCCTCAAAACTAGACAATTCTGTGAATGACGTCTGCTCTTGCCCTGGATTAAGGAAGAAGATCCCATCTGAACCTTAGCTTCATTCCTGAGCCACACAGTGTGACAGTCACTCTTCCTCCTTTATGGACACTTTCTCAAACTCCCAGGGTGCTCTCTCATCGGGGACTTGGCCACTTTTAGTTCTTCAGCCTCAAAACACATCCTGGGCTATCTCTATTATTTCCTTTTGCAGAGGCAATGAAAAGGTTGATCTGTAGAGAGTCAGATGGATCCAAGTTTGAATCCCAACTCAACCACTTTTTTAGATATGTGGCAGATTAAAAAAAATACTTAAAATTAAAAAAAAATTGAGAATTTTTAATTTTTTGAGACAAGGTCTCGTCACTATGCAGCCCAGGCTGGCCTTAAACACCTACCTCCACCTCCTGATTACAGGGATTACAGACATGCATCACCATGCTGGGCTGGGGATAGATTTTATTTAAGCATTTTTCATTTCAGTTTCCTCGTCTGTCCAACAGAGGTAACACTAATACTAACTTACAAGGGCTGTTGAGCAGATTCAATGAATATACAATCCTGAAGCCTAAGGGTTTTGTTTCATGTTATGTTTCTGCACAGAGTATATATTCAATAAATGTCTGCTGAATGAATGGATGAATCAATGAGGCAGTAAGTACTTGATGTTATGACATTAATGGCTTTTTCACGTAAAGAAACTGAGGCACAGAAACAATTTCCCTCACGGTTCAGTACGTCTAAGAAGCTGCTCCAGGGTTACTATCTGAATTCCCTTGCTTCCAGCTGCCCAGGGAGAAGGGAAGGCTACACATCCTCCTACCATCAAATACTCCTAATGGAACTCTTTCATTCTTAGTTGTAATTCTTTTCTCTGCTACTCCTTTGTTGCTTCTCCTTAATAAATAAAAATGGGTTTCGAAAGAAAGTGTGTGTCCTGTGTGTGACTCTAGCTTAGAAGACTTTGAGCCAGGAGCCGGTGGCTCACGCCTGTAATCCTAGCTACTCAGGAGGCAGAGATCAGGAGAATGGCAGTCCGAAGCCAGCCTGGGCTGGCCCTGAGTTCAAAAAAATATATATATAAATAAATAAAATTGAAAAAACAAAGCAAAGGTGTAGTTGCCAGTTTGCTAGCCACCAGGATTATAATATTCAAGATTTAGGTTTAGACTTAAGAAACTTTAAGGCATTAAAAAATTCCGCTTTGTCACTTGTTATCTGAGAAATGGCAATCCGAACTTCTAGCTAAATGAGACCAAATGAGCAAGAATACCAGAAAAGAAAACCTATCTACTGTCCTCTTACCTGAAACAAAAGCGCACAGTAACAGGGTGTGCTAAGTCTCCTGAGTGTGGTTTACAAGGTTAAACATGATCCCACAATCTTGACTGTAAATTTGCTTCCCTTTTTTAAGTTCACAGAATGTAACACAAAATAAATCTTAAGAAGTGTTCTTCAGAACTCATAGGGAAGACGACAATAGCTTTGTGATGAAATCCTGTCTACTACCTGGAAGAGGAAAGCAACTGATTTAGAGGAAAATGTTTTCCCTTCTCAGCGGTTTTTAGGAAAAGTCACATAAAAGCTATAAGGGATATTGGATCAGAAATCCAGATATTCCCAGGAATGATGTGGGGAAAATAAGAAGTACTTTTTTTTTATCTTGGTGGTGGTGATGGTACTGGGGTTTGAACTCAGGGCCTGGCGCTTGCTAGGCAGGTGCTCTACCATTTGAGCCACACCCCCAAGCCCAGAGAAGTACTTTTTATTGACGTCTATAATGGTAAAAATTTAAGTTCTGGTCTAAGAATGGGTTTCCTTATCCTTCATTAAAAGTGAAATGGCGACTGGAGGTGTGGCTCAAGTGATAGCAGGCCTGCTTTGCAAACTCAAAGCCCTGAGTTCAAACCCTAGTTCTACACCACCCCCTAAAAAAAAGTGAAATGGTTAAGATGGGGTCTGAACTTACCAGGTGAATGCAGGGCTGCTTGGGTTAGATCCCTGGGGTCAGAAGGGGTTAAAACAGTTGTTAAAAGGAGACTAAGTGAGGCGGGAACTCTGTCACGCTGTGATGCAAGGCCTGGCCATGCCCCTTCTGGGCCTTTGTATCCACAGAGGATTCTGCTGTGACTCAAGACCCCATCCTCACAATAAGTACACACACAGCTCCAGGACGGGCCCCATGATTTTCAGAGTAGAGCATTAAACCAAGAACAGAGCCTTGCAAGCTGGGCTCTAAATTATATGCTGAGAGAAGGGGGAGAGAGGCAGGGAAAGGGAGAGAGAGAGAGAGACAGAGACAGAGAGAGAGAGAAACAGAGACAGAGTCAGAGACAGACACAAAAAGAGAGAAAGAAAGAAAGAATAATGGCCTCACATAAGGGCCTAATTTACCTATTCAGTTTCCAGTGTATTAAATTACAAAATGATCCAATGGGAGGATTCAATATTTTATTCCTTGCATTCCCTCTTTCAAGGAACATTAAGTAACCACCAGCTGTGTACCAGGCACAGTAGAAACATAAATGAAAAACATAGCCCCTGGATGGACGCCAGTGGCTCACACATACAATCCTAACTACTTGGGAGGTTGAGATTGGGAGGATTGAGATTCCAGGCGAGACTAGACAAATAATTCGTAAGACTCTATCTCCAAAATAACCAAAGCAAAATGGACTAGAGGTGTGGCTCAGTGGTAGAGCACCTTCTTTGCAAGTGTGAAGCCCAGAGTTCAAGCCCCAGTCCCATCAAAAATAGAAAAGACTGAACCAACTTACATTTCACCAACAGTGTATGGAAAAGTCTTTGTTCCATGCTCTTGACAAGGCCTTTGTTTGATTTGTTTGTTTAGTACATTGTTTTTCATTTTGTAACAAAACAAAACAATTTTTTTTTTTTTTTGCAACAGTCTTGTAGGCCAAATGTAAGCCCCAAAGTGACCACGCGGAGAGGAGTCATCTGGCCAAGAGATTCTTTATTGCCGGGTGGGAGAGGGAGAGAACCGAGAGGCAGAGAGAGAGAAAGAGAGAGAGAGAGAGAGAATACCCCCTCAGTGAGACTCGGCATGATCTGATTGGTTAGGATCTTATGGTTCATGCTGATTGGAGGTTGGGGCAGAAGGGGAATTCAAGCTAGACTTGAGGCAGGACCGTGACCCTGGAAAACAGAAGCTTAAGGGTGCAGTAAGAACTGAAACCTATCGGCGCCATTATTGCCAACAGGTCTATTATGTAGCTCAGGCTGGACTGGAGCTCACAACCCTCCTGTGTCAGCCTCCCAAGTACTGGGATTACAAATGTGCACTGCCATGTCTGGCTAAAGCATCACCCCTTTCATTCTCCCCAGTACTGGGGCTTGAACTCAGGGCTACACCTCGAGCCATTCCACCAGCCCTTTTTTGCAAAGGGTTTTTTCGAAATAGGGTCTCCCAAACAATTTGTCTGGGCTGGCTTCGAACTATGATCCTCCTGATCTCTGCCTCCTGAGTAGCTAGGGTTACAGGCATGGGCCAATGGCACCCGGCAAGTCTACAAATGACTATTTGTTCCCCTCTTTGAATTGCTGAAAATCAGTTGACTGTAAGTGTGAAGATTTATTTCTGGACTCTCAGTATTGCTTGGCTTTTCTTTTTCTGTGTATTGATTTTTTTTTTTTTTCATTTTTGTGGTACGGGTGTTTGAACTAAGGGCCTTACTAAACAAGAGCTCTACCACTTGAGCCATGCCTCCAGCCCTGAAGTAACTTTTTAAATTAAGGAGTTGCATCATTCTCCAACTTTGTTCTTTTTTTCAGTTTGCTCTTAGGGGTTTTGGTGTATGTGGGAGGGGGAGGGGCGGAGGTGCTAGGGTTTGAACTCAGGGCTTCACACTTGCAAAGTAGGTGCTTACCACCCCTCCAGTCCATTTTGCTCTGGCTATTTTGGGGATGGGGTGTTGCAAACTACTTGTCCAGACTGACCTCAAACCATGATCCTCCTGATCTCAGCCTCCCAAATAGCTAGGATTACAGGTGTGAGCCACTGGCACCAGGCTGCCCTTGGGGTTTTTTACATTTAACCCAACACTACTTTTTCTTCATTTTTTTTTTTTTGGTGGTACTGGGGGTTTGAATTCAGGGCCTCACAGTTGCTAGGCAGGTGCTCTATCACTTGAGCCATTCCCCCTACCCCCCAGCTAACACTACATGTTAAAACTCTAAAGTTCATTCTCTCTCTCTCTCTCCCTCCCCCCCACCTTTCTCCCCACTAAGGGTCCAGGGGTCTCTTATTTCTTATAAGCCATATGTCCTAATTCAATATCATGTACATTCTGCATTGGGAGGTTTCCCAAAATTGACCCCCAGTGAATTGTGATTCCAGCTACCTCCACCCTTACGTCCCTCCCCCCACCCCCACCAATGGAGCATAGATTGGCTCCATGAGTTGCTTTGACAGTTGAAGTGGTGGGAGGGATATTCTGGGATTTCAAAGACCAAGCATTAATAAAGTCTGGCTGCTGTGAGTCAACTCCCTGTATAGCTATCCTTATCTCAACTAGCAAAAACCCTGTTCCTTCCTATTATTGCTTATACTCTCTCTTCAACAAAATTAGAGATAAGGTCAAAATAGTTTCTGCTGGGTAGCGAGGGGGTAGGAGGGAAGAGGAGGGGAGAGGGAGGGGATGGGGGAGTGGTAAGGGAGGGGGTGGGGGAAAGGGGGAGAAATGACCCAAACATTGTATGCACATATGAATAAAATAAAAATGAAAAAAAAAAAAAAAAGAAGGTCTGGCTGTGGGTTTTTGGAGTAGCATGGATGCAACCCAGCCCACCCTGTGGGGAAGAAAGGTAAAGAGCTGCGTATAGACACCACGAGGAGAGGCTACATGTTGAAGTCACAAGTGCAGAGGGAGAGGAGCCTGGGTGTCCCAGAGGCCTGCTTTACCATCCATATGACTTTAGCCCAGCTGTCATCTACTTGGAAGGACAGCTGTCCAGCTGAGCCCAATCAACGAGAACCACTGGAGATAACACAATGGTGATTTGTTTTTAACCACTAAGTTTCGTGGTGGTTTAGTAAACACTGACAGACAACTGAGACAGAAACTCCAGCTTGGTCATGACATGAAATAGTTAACCACATAACATCTCTAAGCTTCTGTTTTCTAGTTCTGAAATGGGAATGATAATAATAGCACCTTTCTCACAGGATTAATTGAAGATTAAGTGAGGTCACACATTCAAACCCTCACTACAGTGCCTGGCACACAGCGAGCAGCTGATCAACCATAGGTAGCATTATTGTCATTTTATATTGTGGTGTTGGGGATTGAACCCAGAACTTCATATAGCTAGTCAAGCACTCTACCACTGAGCTGCACACCTACCTCATTATTTTTAATTAAAAAAAAAGAGTTTCCTGCAAGGAAGCAACAGATGCATTCCTGTATCCCCAGTTATAGGATCCTTTGGGCCCAGGAATTCAAGGCTACCATGGTCCACATAGCAAGAGCTTGTCTCAAAAAATAAAATTAAATTAAAAAAATAGTCCAGTCCAGTTTCATGGCACACCTTCAAGTTGCCCTCAAATAGCCAGGTGTGGATATTTGAGTTAATTGTGAGAGTCATAGATGTTAAGTGGAGTTTCCACCAAATTGTGGAATCATTCCCTTAGCTCTGGAAATGATTCATTATAACAAGTTTCTGTACAGCTCATGCACTAGTAAGAAAAAAAATACATAAAAGAAGGACTAAGCAAGTCAAAACATGCCCGCTGTGTAGTAGGAAGACTGGAAATTCCACAGCAAGCACCAGAATCTAAGGAAGCCCAAATTTACATTTTGTCTGAGCAGTTCTGAACTCTGCATTAGGATCACAGAATGGTGAAGGCTTCGAGGAAGCTCCCAGATCACCCAGTTCCTCAGTTTACACAAGAGGAAGCTGAGGGGTAAGAGGTTAAGCTCAAAGATGATGAAGCCAGAGCAAGCAGCCAGCTTTTCTTCTTGTTCGAACTCCACGATATTTGTTGTTATTCTTTTCTAATTTTACCCATGACTCTTGTTTTTAAAAAGGATAAAATTGTAAAGCTTAGGAAGGAGGGTCCCTTGCAAATTCTAGCTCCCAGAAATAAATATTATTAATAGTTTTCCCAACTTTTAGTCAATAAAGGCCCTTAGGATTACTTCATGGAGACCTCTGCTAAGCCAACATTTATCTACAGGCAGCAGAACAGGAAACAAAACGCCTACCATTTCAACTACAAATGCAACCTCAGTCCAGTGCAATCTAATAGACAAGGCAATAATACTGTGAGAGGCAGTGTTTCCTAATGGTTAGGACACAGGTTCAGGTTCAAGTTCCACTCTCATTAGCTGGGTAGCTTCTCTGAACTTCACTTTCTTAATTTTGAAATCAGAACCAGTAACAGCTCCTTGTTCAAAGGCTACAGTTAAAGGGTGAAACAATGTAATGCATTTAAAGCACGGAGTCCGGCACACTGGAAACTCTCTGTGATGCAGGTACGACTGTCATTTTCACTATCCTCACCCTCATCTTCATCTTCACGAAGTAACTCTAGTCCTTCAGGAGTCTAAGATTAGGTCCTCCTTCCTCTTCTGTACTGCAAGGGTCTGTGAGCCCCTATTATTGAACCTAGGCACACAACTAAAGGAATAACTTTCCAATTTCTAACTCAGTGGAACACAATTTAGAAACCTCTTGCATAGCCAAAATTCATAAGACCAAAATATTAAAGGTTCTATAGGCTAACACCCAAAATTCTAGGAATAATGTGAGAAATGGTGTCTTTCTGCAAGACAAGAGTTCAGCATTCTCTAAGGTCCGGTGACTATAAGTTTAACTGTGCAAACTGTGAGGGAGGTTTTGGGGGACAGAGGGGACAGAGGCTATAAAGGGATTCTCTGTACTTCCTGTTCAATTTTACTGTAAACCTAAAACTTCTCTAAAAAAAGTTTATCCCCAGTATTGCAAAAAAGCTTATTAACTAAGAAAAAAATCAAAATCTAATATAAACAAACAAAAAAATCTCAACTTGTTTTAATCTACCACTAGCTATCCAAAGAGGGCTCCAGTTTTCAAAACTCTTATGAAACCTTATGCTCTCAAGTGGCATGTATTTTTTTATTTAATTTTTTCAGTGCTAGAGGTAGAAACCAGGAGAGTATTCTACCACTGAACTACACCCCCACCCCAGCTTTTTTCTTCTTTTCTTTTTTGGTGGTACTAGGGTATTTTTTTTTTTCCTAACCAGAGATTAATTGCAGAGTTCTGGTGTGGAAAGCAGCCCATGTTTGTATAGCTAAGTAGCATAGAGAAAGTACTCAATGTCTCTATGCTCATGAAATGCGCAGGTACTGCCTTCTCACATTTCCTAAAAGAAGTCATACTCCTGTCTATTGTTTCTTAAGGCAGGTGCACATTAAGATCTCAGGGTGCTTCTTAGTGTTTCTGGAAAACCAAGTGCACAGTGCACTTTTATTATTGCTATTGCTGAGTTGTTAATTATGTAAACCAAGCAAGTGACAGTGAATTACTTCTCCAATGCTAAGTGCTTAATCGGTGTCCCCCATCTTTAACTAATTTGCAAATGATAGCTGGCTTGCCTAAACTTATCCTTTACCTTTAGAAAATTTTGTGGGTTCCTGTCTGCCCAGGGGATTTTTATTACTTGTTTATGCAAACAGCAGATTGCATAAGAGCTTTGCTCACTTTTTTTTTTTTTAAAGCGATTTCGTAGTTTCCTGGTAACCATTCTGTCATCTCTTTCAACACCCTGACATGACATAAAGGCGAGCCCTGAACCACACGTTCCCCACACAGACACACACTTCTTTCCTTGAGCATTCGCTAGGTGAGGCACTCTGGATCCACTCATGAACCAGAAGGGCACTTTTCTGGAGATACACAGCAAGAACTGCTGTGTGTTCCGAGATGACTTCATTGCTAAAGTTCTGCCGCCAGTGTTGGGGCTGGAGTTTGTGTTTGGGCTCCTGGGGAATGGCCTGGCCCTATGGATTTTCTGCTTCCACCTCAAATCTTGGAAATCCAGCCGGATTTTCCTGTTCAACTTGGCTGTGGCTGACTTTCTTCTGATCATTTGCTTGCCTTTCCTGACGGACAATTACTTGAAGAAGTGGGACTGGAAGTTTGGGGACATCCCTTGTCGAATAATGCTCTTCATGTTAGCCATGAACCGCCAGGGGAGCATCATCTTCCTCACGGTGGTGGCCGTGGACAGGTATTTCCGAGTGGTCCATCCCCACCACCCTCTGAACAAGATCTCCAATCGGACGGCGGCCATCATCTCTTGTCTCTTGTGGGGTGTCACCATTGGCCTGACGGTTCACCTCCTGCACAAGAAGATGCTGATCCAGAACGGTAAGGCGAATTTATGCAGTAGCTTTAGCATCTGCAATACCTTCAGGTGGCATGATGCCATGTTCCTCCTGGAGTTCTTCCTACCCTTGGGCATCATCCTGTTCTGCTCGGCCAGAATCATCTGGAGCCTGCGGCAGAGACAAATGGACAAGCACATCAAGATCAAGAGAGCCATCAATTTCATCATGGTGGTGGCCATCGTCTTTGTCATCTGCTTCCTGCCCAGCGTGGCTGTGAGGATACGAATTTTCTGGCTCTTGTACACTTCGGGGACACAGAACTGTGAGCTCTACCGCTCAGTGGACCTGGCATTCTTCATCACGCTCAGCTTTACCTACATGAACAGTATGCTGGATCCTCTGGTGTACTATTTCTCCAGCCCGTCCTTTCCCAACTTCTTCTCCATGTTGATCAACCGCTGCCTACGGAGGGATATGTCAGGTGAACCAGATAATAACCGGAGCACAAGCGTGGAGCTCACAGGGGACCCTAGTACCACCAGAAGTGTTCCAGAGGCACTGATGGTCAACCCCAGTGAGCCACGGAGCCCCTCTTATCTGGCCTCTACCTCTCGTTAACTAACCACGCCAGGAAGGGAGATTGTTACCAAGAACTGAGATCTCTGGAGGAACAACGCTGGACTTGCCCTGTGGGTTCCTGGAACTTCCAGATTCAGAGAATCAGATTTAGAGAAGCATTGTGGCAGAGTGGATTCCAAGGTGTGACCACAGAAATCTTGGGGGGAAATGGAGAGGAAAGGTCTGGGCATCTGAGACTTCTGCTTTGTCTCCGACACTGATGCAGCTGAAGATGGGTAGTGTCCACACTTGTGTGGGAGCTGCACAGGCATCCATTAATACCTGTGACTCGTTGCCCTCCTTCCTTCCCACCTGACATTCAGATGGTCCCTAGAACTGGGGTGCTATCTTGTGTGTGGGACCTCAGTGGGAGTAAGGAGAGCCAGGAGACTGGAGGGAAGTCCTGTGGCTCTCACAGGGAGTCCAGGCATCATTAAACAAGCCATAGGTCACCTGGGTTGCATGGGACTAGGTGAAGAATTTCATAAGCTTTGATTAATGTCTGAGTTTCCAGCGGTGGCATGAAGGGGGCTGCAGGGGGGACTGAGTTGAACAGTGTTATGAAGAGAAGAGAAATGGCACCCATGCCACCATCAGTGACTAATGTATTCCTCCCTTGTGTATGCTCATTTGAGGACTGAGCAGCTGGAAGGCTTCAGGGAAGAGAGGTGCTCCCAACCTCTGTTTGCTTTTATCATTAAAAAGGAAATATATTCCTGCTCTGTGGTTAAAAGTAGATGATCTCTCCTCCTTCATTTGCTTGTGTTTCTGTACTTATAATAAATCTACCATTTCAATAAATTTTGATAGGCGACAGTCTAGTGTTGCATATGTCTGGGTGATGGTTCACAGAAATGGGCTTCTTACTTAAGCTGAGACCTTTATGGGTTGTTAACTATGTCCTGCTAGAAAAATACCGTGCTCTGCAAAGTAGGAAGAGGACACAGACGAGGAGTTCCACCATGAGACAGTTGAATAAAAATTTCATGTGCGGGGTTAGGAAAGGGCTGAGAATAAATAAAAAACACTTAGCCTGGAAGGTTAGGGCAGATGAGATTGCAAGAGCATTTTCTTTACAGTTTGGTAAGCATTGTTATTAGTATTTGGGTGTGAAAAAAGAAATCAGACCCGAGTGGGATTTTTCTGCAGGAAGGGGAAGAACGAGCCTCCTATGGAATGGTTTCAGTTCCCAGTTCTGACAGGGAAAGGAGATGTACTGGTTTGGGTCTGTGATGGGTCCAAGTTTCTGTTACGCTTTCATTTCCATTTTCTGTCACTCCTTGATTCTTCAGCAAGATGAGGCTTGCTTCAACCTCCTGCCATAAGATAGATAAGGACTTTGGATGCTCAGATGCCCAGCCCTGGGTAAATGGCAATAAATGATGAAAGAAAGATAGTCTTGAGTTTCTTGAGGCTTTGCAGAGTGGCTCTCCTGTCTGCATCACCAAGCAGTTCCTAGGTGCAGAAAGTTAAAAGCAGAGATGGCCTTAAAGAAGAGGATTGAAGAGATGAGCTCATGGCAAAGTAGGGATTTCCCCAGCCCCAGCTGTGAGTCAGTGAGGATCCCAGTGGGGAAGCTCCAGTTCTCCCAGTGTTAGGAACTCAGCCATTCACGTTTATTTGTTTATTCAGAGTTTTCATCCGTTTCTTATATATTAAACACCAAACTATGTGGCAGGAACTGTTCTGGGTGGTAGAAATAAAAGAAGGACCAAGGGAGGCCAAATTCTCTTCTCACTGAACTCACTTTTGAGGCAGGGAGGTGGCCAGTAATGAAGGAAAGAAATGGACAGAAAGTTGTGAGTATGATGAAGACAGCAAAGCAGGGTGATAGGGACGGAGTCACTAGGGTGGGGATGTCTAGGAAGATCTCTGGAAGGATGTGACCTTGAGCTGAGCCATGAATGACACAACAGCAAACAACAGAAAAAAACTGCAGTGGAGGGGAGAGGGCACAACAGACAGAGGGACTGATAAATGCAAAGGCCCTGGGGTGAGAATTAATTTTATGTGTGTGAGTGTGTTCATTTCCTGTGGCTGCCTTAACAAAGTACCACAAACTGGGTGGTTGAAAACAACAGAAATTTATTCTCTCACAGTTTCTGGAGACCAGAAGTCCAAAATCAAGGTGTTGGCAGGCTCAGCTCCTTCTGGAGGCTCTGGGGGTGAATCTGGTTGATGTCTCACTAGAGCTTCTGTGATTGCCAGCAGTCTGTGGCTTGTAGACACACCAATCTGCCTCCATTTTCACATGGCCTCTTCTCCTCATGTCTCTGTATCTTCTTTTTTTTTTTTTTTCTTTTGTCTCTAATAAAGATACCTGTCATTGGATGAGGGCCCATCCTAATCCAGGATGATGTTATCTTGAGATCCTTACTTTAACATCACTTATAAAAACCCTTATTCCAGTAAGAGCACATTCTAAGGTTTGGGGTAGACATATTTTTGGGGACCACAACTCAACCCTCTAAAATGAGCGACATAGGAAAGACTGGTGTGTAGTGAGTATGGGGTCAGCTACATAGTGAGGTTAAGAACACTTGTATGGAAATAATGAAAAACTTAAGATAAAGATCATAGGAAGCTAAATAGAACAGTTTCAAAACATCGTATGAGTTTGATTTTTTTTTTTGGTGGTACTTGGTTTTGAATTCAGGTCTTCGTGTTTGCTAGGCAGGTGCTTTACCACTTGAGCCCTGCCTCCAGGCCTTAATTCTTTTTAAAAATATGTATCCAAAATATGTACATCAGGTGGATATAGTGCATACATCTGTAATCCCAGCTACTTGGGAGACTGAGATAGGAGAATCACTTGAGTCCAGGAGTTTGAGGCCAACCTCAGCAATATACAGAGACACCATCTTAAAAAAAAAAAAATCCCACAAATTGAAACAGAAAAAAAAATTTTTTTTTTAGTACTGGGGCTTGAACTCAGGGCCTACACCTTGAGCCACTTCCCCAGCCCTTTTTTTGTGATGGGTTTTTTTTTTCAAGATAGGCTCTCACAAACTATTTGCCCTGGGCAGGCTTCAAACTGATATCCTCCTGATCTCTGCCTCCTGAGTAGCTAGGGATTACAGGTGTGAGCCTCTGGCACCTGGCTGGAACAGAAATTTTATGAAATTCTTTGGCAGAGCTGTTTGTGTTACTGTTTCCTTCCTGAGAAGGAAATTCCAATTATTTTTTTCTCATTATAGTGAGAAAATGCCTTATTATATACCTTATGAGAATGCAAGGAACTGAAATACACTACAGCTTGGCTAAAGCAAGAAAAGGAAAACAGAGAGGAAGGACACTGGAAAGAAAGTCATGGTTCTTCCAGAAACTAGAAAATTAAACTAGGCTTGGAAGCTCCAGGCCAGCACACGGTCCTTCACCAGTTTTCAGCTACAAATGTGACTTCCAACATTTGTCATTCAGGTCAGCTTCTCAAGCAAGAAAGGTGGTTGGCTGTTGCCATGAAGATAACAGTCACAATGCAGCTGGTGTGTGTATATATTTGGTTTTCACACATTTAATTACTTATTGATTTACTTGTTTATTTTTAGGGGGCTGGAGATCTAACCCAGGACCTCAGACACGCTAGGCAAGCACTCTATCACTGAGCTACACCCTCAGCCCTGGTTTTCACATTTTTATGGGGAGCCACAGGAGAAGGGCCTCCTCCCTGTTGACAGAGGTGGTCATAACTTCTTCACTGACTCCAAGCTGGGGTCCTGGGGTTCCTGAGAGGTGGTGGGTGTGTGAGGTATGTTCCCATCACCTGGGATGGTCATTGATAGTTGTGGGTAGGGTCTGGTGACCACAATGGTATCCCTGGTGTAGGGGTTGGTGATGGTAGGATAGGGAGGCTTCTGATGCCGGACATGACCAGAATTGGCCCCTTGGTCCAAATCTCCACCATCTTGGCAGCAGGATAAAGGGTGCTGTCTGCCAGGTGTTCCTTGGATAACATGTCAGGCAGGGCTCTCTCCATTTCACTGGCACATTTGGGCTTTCAGCAGAGGTCATCTCGACTATCTTCAAAATTTCTTCCATGTCATAAAACTATGGTCCTGTTGAGCACAGAGAGGTTGTTGATCAATTTTCAGGAAGCACTGGAGTTCACACTCATCCAAAGCCATTCCTCTGGGAGCCTCCAGGTGTGTGTTCCAGGGCCTGTAGAAGGCTTTCCCGGGTATGTTAGAGGTTGCTTAATAAGCTTGGGATAAATTCCTACTCTTTGGCAGGCTTAGCTCAATAAGTACCTGGCCATGAAATTCTGTTCACTGTTTCTTGTCTTCAATGACAAAAGGAACATGACTTTTTTGAGGGTGGCAGTACTGGGGTTTGAACTCAGGGTCTTGAGCTTGCTGGACAGACTCTCTACCACTTCAGCCACATCTCCAGTCCTTTTTGCTTTAGTTATTTTTCAAATGGGGTCTTGCGTTCATGGCCAGCCTAGATCATGACCATTCTATTTACGCTTCCAGTGCAGCTAGAACAACAGGCAAATGGCACCTAATTTTATTGGTTCTGATGGGACTTACAAACTTTTTGAATGGGGTGGCCTTCAAAGCTTTATTCTGGCTCCTAACTAACTAGATTACAGGTGTGAGCCACTGTGCCTAGCCAGAACATGACTATTTTGCAATCAGTGCTGAATTCTCTTTGGGCTTAACTATAACATTTGGTCATGCTCTGTCTTTTTGGGAAGAAGGGGTTTACAGGCAGAGGGCATTACAAACATCAGGACTTGCCTTATAGTCCACAGTCCCATTGTCCTATTAAATAAAAGGCCAGTGCTTCTGGGCTCTAGTAAATATTGATATACCCAGGCTCTGTGGCCACACTTAGAGATGCATCTAGAGTAGGTGCTGGGGTTGGTACGTGACATTCCCCGTGCAACTCTACAAAGAAGAGAAAATCAATGACCCTCTGATGTCGCCAGGTTTAAAAACAGTTTCTTCTCTTACACAATAGGTAATGTGTGCATGGAAGAAAAATGGCTTTGGGAAAGCGACGTGAATGCAAAGATCTGCTCACAGTCAGAGGGAAGCTGCATTCAGTAGCATACTCATTTGATCACCATCAATTTTTGGGGGGAGGTGGGTGGGACTGGGGTTTGAACTTAGGGCTTCATGCTTGCAAAGCATATGCTCTACCACTTAAGTTACATCTCCAGCCCATTTTCTCTTGTTATTTTGGAGATGGAGGTCTCTCAAACTATTTGCCTGGACTGGCCTTGAACCATGATCCTCCCAATCTTAGCCTCCCAAATCACAATGTGTGAGCCACCAGCACCTGGCCCTATCAACGATTTTCTCTAAGATCTGCTATGATATCTGGCAGACACTGCCCAGTGTTACATAAATCATCTTATTTAATCCTTCAATACTGTGATAGGGCTGGTAGTATTTCCTATTTCCCAGAGAAGGGAATTGAGGTCCAAAGAGTTTGAGCAACTTATTCAAGGTCATACACCTGGTGAATGGTGAACCCACAGACAAACTGAGGCAGTCTGACTCCACAGTCCTTGCTTTTAACGTTCTGAGAACATGTGAAGTGAGACATGAAAATCTGAACTGGACAAAGTAGGGTGAAAGCTTTTATCCCTTTGGGATCAGTATTTCCAGAGCTTCCCAGGCTGGCCAACAGTTAGGTCCTTCAGCCCCTCCCACACTCAGGTGGTGACCACAGCTGTCTGTCATAGTGCACAGAATTTAGTGGATGTTCCATAAATGCTGATTCCCTTCTCCAAAGCTCACTCTTGCTTGACCCTTTTCTTCCTTGTTGAAAATTATTCTTGTCTTTTTAAAGAAACTACCTA